GGGGCACTATTCCTCCCACTGACACCAATGATGGGGCACTATTCCTCCCACTGATACCAATGATGGGGCACTATTCCTCCCACTGACAACAATGATGGGGCACTATTCCTCCCACTGACACCAATGATGGGGCACTATTCCTCCCACTAATACCAATGATGGGGCACTATTCCTCCCACTGACACCAATGATGGGGCACGATTCTTCCCACTGGTGTGCACTGGAAGAGGGGTAGTCTTATACGGTGAGTATAGCCCAAACACTACATTTTAAACAGGAAAAGTAGGGGGTCGTCTTCTACGCCCAGTCGTCTTATACGCCGGAAAATACGGTACTTTTAAGTAATGATTTTAAGTTGTTTGTAATAAACATTTTTATACTATTTTTAATAACAAGTATTGATGCTCTGTGAATAATCTGATCAGTTCATGCAGTATATAAAGAGAATATAAAATCACCCCCAAAAAAACCCTTTTTTTATTCTGTTACTCTTTGGAAGCCCATATTTTTTTTCTTACTCGCTTGTTTTCATTGATTCCCATATGAATGTAATACCACTCTGTACATAGATGACCCACATGACAGGCTGTTATCTGGACAGCATGCCTGATTGTAAAGCAATATGGCTTGGAGACAGAGCACTAAACCATGCTGAAGTCCTAGATGCTGACTTCCTGACAGGTATGCAGTTTAAATGTGTGAATCCGCTAAACATTCAGAGCCATTCTGAGTGATGTCATCAGCTTCCCAGCACCACTACTGATGCATTTTGTTTGTACTAATAATCTTTCTCCACAGCAGTAGATACACAGAGTGCTCCATAAATGTACTCCTCCTCCTTCTTCACTCACAGTCAACAACTGAATTGCTTTGCTTCATTCTGTACTCTGTGTTTGTATATAGAAAAGTACACACTTATAAAACAAAAATGTTTTAGTTTAAAAATGTTCAGTTGAATAATTCATTAAAAATGTGTTTGTAAAGCATGTTTTATAGCAATGTTATTGTTAAATATGCCCCAAGGAAATTTGACCCCAGAAAGATCTCAGGGAGCAAGTGAAAAAAGTGAATTGGAAATAAGTTTGGATAATAGTCTGAGACTTTCCCTGGGACCGGTATATAATAGTCAACAATTAACGGAAGGTATAGAGTCGAGAGAAATTGAAAGAGACCTGCAAATACCAAATAAAAAGGAAATGGCGGTATTAGGGATCCGGGTATGACCAGAAATGTGTGGACTGACACAGGGAAACACAGGCTCCAGGTATAGTATAAACAATACAATGTATTAAAGACTAAACAATACATAAATGCAGTGCAAGACTAAACATAAACACAGTGCAACCAAACCTCCAACAGATAACAATAAAAACAATACTAAACGTAGTCGGACAGGCCGGGTCGGTAGCAAACGGGCAGGCAAGGTACAAGGAGCAGGCGGAGTCAGGAATAGCCAAGGTCAGGACAGGCAGAGTTCATGCAGAGTCAGGATTAAAGCAGAATCAGGATCAGGCAGGAAGGCAGTATTCCGAGGCATCGGGGTCCAAGATCAATCAGGACAAGTCTTAAGTCCTTTGGTTAGGTGTGGAGGGCGAGGGCTTTGTGCTACCGGACCCTTTCCCTGTGCCTCAGCAGTCCGTCAAAGTATTAGGCATTGAATTTGGCCCGGCCGATTATGGCAAATCGAATTGGGAGACCAGGCTGACCAATGCCGAAGACCAGGTGAAATGCTGGAAGGGGTGGCAGCTCTCCTTGAGGGAAAGGGTTGATCTGATCAAAACTTACCTGATCCTCATATTTTTGTATGTCAGCACAGTTTGCATCTTGCCAGAGTCTCTTTATACGAGTGTAGCAGGCTCCTTGTACGAGAGGATTCAGAAGGAATCACACGTTCTGCAGTCAGTCCTTCCTCTCCCTCCCCTATTGTAAAACCTGGGCATTCTGCCAAGCTCATGACTCATCCACTTCACAGCAAAGGACGCTGGGAAGGGGAGGAAGCAGGAAGTGAAGGGGAGAACAGAGAGACACACGAGGATGGAGAAAGACAGGGAAACGTAGAGCCCATCCAAGGAGAGGAGGAGGCACTACAGCACTCAGCGCGGATAGAGGGACCCTGCTGTGTGTTCGGAGTCTGGTGAGCTGTCCCACTGGGAGAGAGTAAGACACACCATTTACACTTTGCATATAGACTGGGACATCCGTACCCCACTGCTGGGATCTCACCAATCCGGGGCCCTGTGCAAGCCACAGATCCCCCTGCCTGCTTTGTCCCTCACCACCAGTGTAATTGAGACTGTCTGCCCCGGGGACTGACACATACTGGGAGATTGAATCCGGCGACTGCTGCTGGTCTTGGGGTGCTTTGTGTTGCTTCTAGACACTGAGGTTGGATCTTCTCAGCCCAGAAACCTAGTGAAATCTGATGTAACCCACACCAGCTGAAACTCCAAAGAAGCCTTCAGCTGCTATTTACTTTATTGTAAGGACTAAACGTGCACTAACTAGAGCTCCACCGTTACAAGGACTGAAATGGGGGAATCTGGCTTAGTAGCCTTATTAGAGGTACCTCTTTATTGCATTCTGTTCTGACTCTGAGGTGATTTTTTGGCTAACGCCCCTCAGAAGCAGAATCATACACCGGTGTGGGTAATACATTTCATTGATAGAGCATAAGTAAGTTTATTTGTTTGATATCAGTTGTATTCTGCTTAAAGTGCGGCTCTGCCATCCGGAGACTCTTGGCTGTGAAGCCCTCTAGTGGCAGACCAAATTTACTGCATTGCACAAAGAAGAAAAGTAAGTTTTGAAGTTGAAAGGGGAACCCCACCCCTCTACACTGCATTTCATTCTCCATAAAATTGTTCTTGTTTCATTTAACCCTGTGTCTGCAGATTTCTTGGTGGTGTATTTGTTATTCATTACCAGTTGTGCCAGAGGGATTGGGTTTGCTTAGGGTTGGATCTATTGAGCGCAGGACCCATAATATATTCCAGCTTGTCCCAAGGGGCAGTGCTACACGAGGATCTACAGTTGCTTTTTCCAGCTGTTATGGGGAAGCAGACTGAACCTTGTGAAGCGAGATGTGACTTATCTATCCAGGAGGAAGGGTGGCTTAGGTATGGTCAACCCGGTAGTCTTCTTCTCTCTGGTGTTTTTGAAGCACAATTTTGGTAACATGCTGGCAGAGAGACCTCCTGCATGGGTAAGCCTCTTCCGGAACTGGTTTAGGCCTTTTCTGAGTTGCTGGGAGAGTGGTGGGCTAGTGAAAAGCCTGAGGGTTAAGCACGGTGAGCTCCTGACTTATGTTGCCCCGAGCCTGAAAATACTTAGGCGGTGGCGTGTGATGGCGGAGTATATTAAGTCCCTCCCTAGGAAGCTCCTGGGTGAGAGGATTGTGTCCGTTGTTTGTCATGCGCCGCTGGCCTTGAGGGATTGCCCGGGCCATATTATGCGGGAGGGCTTACGCTTATTAAATTCTGAGCGGATTCCCTTCAAGTTTAGGGACCAGGCCTGGCTCGGTTTTCACGGCAGACTCTTCGTGAGGGGAAACTTGAAGTACCTCTCTCTGGATGACCACAGTTGTCCGAGAGAGGAGTGTCGGGGTGAAGTGGAAACTATGGACCACTTCCTGCTTCAGTGTCCCTTCAATGTTGAAGTCTACAAAGAGGTGGGGAGTGCTCTGGGTGTTCCTTTCTTGCACTGCATGTCTTATGCAGAGTGGGTATATGGAGCATTGCAAGATCGCCGGGGTTTTGATTTGGACACTCTTTATTTAGTTAGCCTAGTTGTCCGGTATTTCACGTGGAATGCACGGTGCCAAGTGTCCATACGGAAGAAAGTCCTTCCTGTCCTGGAGGTGGTGCGCGGCATTCTTGGTGAGGTGGGGAAAGTTCAGGGTCTTGAGAAAGACAGGTGGTGGCGAGGGGTCTGGATAAAGGCGTGGAGGAATATCAGGCCTGTAGTTGCCGCCTGTTGATCTCTGGGTGTTGGTAAACTATCCTGTTTTCTTTCTCCTTCCACGCTCCCTTAGATTTTCAGAGATGATTTTTTTTTTTGAAGAAAGGCTACATGGACCCGAAGATCTATGTTCCTCAGTCTAAGTAATGTTGTTTTGTGTGATGTTTTGTACAGTGTTTGACTATAGGCCATGTAGGCTACATATGCTATTGTATTCGGCCATAAAGGCCATAAGTGCTTTCTTATTAGGCCGTAAAGGCCATATATGCAGATTTATTGGGCCATAAAGGCCACGTTTTGTTTTCTAGGCCATAAAAGCCGTGAATGCAAATCTTTGTTTCCGGCTGTAAGGGCCTTGCGTACATATTGCTTTAGCCATAAGGACTCTAGTATGGCTTTGAAATGTTTACTTTTATGTTTGCACATGATGGAATGTGATGTTGTTATGTTATGTTATTTATTTATTTTTTTTTTTTTATACTTTTGTAGAAAATGTTTGTTGGTTGTGCGTTTTTCTAAAATAAAACAATATCTCCCACCACCACTGGCAAGTCCATTCCTGACAGTACCCCCCCCCCCCCCCCCCCTCAAGGAGCGGCCTCAGGACGCTCCAAACAGTCCGTAATGGCCCAAATGTTCCACCGCCTGGGTCCGGCAACTGGCTGGCTGACATCCCACTGCCACAATCAAGCGATTGGCTGGGTCTCCTGCTGATAGGCCTATCTTTTTGTAGGAGACTGCAGGAAGGCAGATTGCTGGACACAGGATTTCCAGAAGCAGGCTGGGCATCAGGAGCTGGTACGCCAGGCTGGGCAGCAGGCAGCAGGCAGAGGCACGTCAGGCTGGGCAGCAGGCAGAGGCACGTCAGGCTGGGCAGCAGGCAAGGCAGCGGGCACTGGGCCATCAGGCGGAGCAGCGGGCACCGGGCCATCAGGCGTAGCAGCGGACACCACGTCATCTGGCAGAACCGCAGGCAGAGGCTCATCAGGCGGGACAGCAGGCAGAGGCACGTCAGGCAGGACAGCAGGCAGAGGCACGTCAGGCGGGACAGCAGGCAGAGGCACGTCAGGCGGGACAGCAGGCAGAGGCACGTCAGGCGGGACAGCAGGCAGAGGCATGTCAGGCGGGGCAGCAGGCAGAGGCATGTCAGGCTGGGCAGCAGGCAGAGGCATGTCAGGCTGGGCAGCAGGCAAGGCAGCGGGCACCGGGCCATCAGGCGGAGCAGCGGGCACCGGGCCATCAGGCGGAGCAGCGGACACCGTGCCATCAGGCGGAGCAGCAGGCGCCGCGTCATCTGGCAGAACCGTGGGCACTGGGTCACCAAGCTCGACAGCGGGCACTGAGTCATTTGGCAGGACAGCAGGCACCGAGTCATCTGGCAGAACCGCGGGCACTGGGTCACCAAGTTCGACAGTGGGCACCGAGTCATCTGGCATGACAGTGGGCACCGAGTCAACTGGCATGACAGTGGGCACCGAGTCATCTGGCAAGACAGTGGGTACCGAGTCACCTGGCAAGACCGTGGGCACCGAGTCATCTGGCAAGACAGCGGGCACCGAGTCATCTGGCAAGACAGCGGGCTCCGGGTCAACTGATACGACAGCGGGCACCGAGTCAACTGGCAGGACAGCGGGCTCCAAGTCATCTGGCAAAACAGCGCGCACCGAGTTCATCTGGCAAGACAGCGGGCACCGAGTCACCAGGCACGACAGCGGGCTCCGAGTCAACTGGCACGACAGCGAGCTTCGAGTCATCTGGCAAGACAGCGGGCACTGAGTCATCTGGCAAGACAGCGGGTACCGAGTCATCTGGCACGACAGTGGGTATTGAGTCATCTGGCAAGAAAGCGGGCACCGAATCATCCGGCAAGACAGCGGGCACCGAGTCATCTGGCAAGACCGTGGGCAGAGGCTCATCAGGCAGGACAGCAGGCAGAGGCACATCAGGCGGGACAGCAGGCAGAGGCACGTCAGGCAGGACAGCAGGCAGAGGCACGTCAGGCGGGACAGCAGGCAGAGGCACGTCAGGCAGGACAGCAGGCAGAGGCACGTCAGGCGGGGCAGCAGGCAGAGGCATCTCAGGCTGGGCAGCAGGCATAGGCATGTCAGGCTGGGCAGCAGGCAAGGCAGCGGGGCACCGGGCCATCAGGCGGAGCAGCGGGCACCGGGCCATCAGGCGGAGCAGCGGACACCGTGCCATCAGGCGGAGCAGCGGGCACCGTGTCATCTGGCAGAACCGTGGGCACTGGGTCACCAAGCTCGACAGCGGGCACCGAGTCATCTGGCAGGACAGCAGGCACTGAGTCATCTGGCAGAACCGCGGGCACTGGGTCACCAAGTTCGACAGCGGGCACCGAGTCATCTGGCAAGACCGTGGGCACCGAGTCATCTGGCAAGACAGCGGGCTCCGGGTCAACTGATACGACAGCGGGCACCGAGTCAACTGGCAGGACAGCGGGCTCCAAGTCATCTGGCAAGACAGCGCGCACCGAGTCATCTGGCAAGACAGCGGGCACCGAGTCACCAGGCACGACAGCGGGCTCCGAGTCAACTGGCATGACAGCGGGCTCCGAGTCATCTGGCAAGACAGCGGGCACTGAGTCATCTGGCAAGACAGCGGGTACCGAGTCATCTGGCACGACAGTGGGTACCGAGTCATCTGGCAAGAAAGCGGGCACCGAATCATCCGGCAAGACAGCGGGCACTGAGTCATCTGGCAAGACCGTGGGCACCGAGTCATCTGGCAAGACCGTGGGCACCGAGTCATCTGGCAAGACCGTGGGCACCGAGTCATCTCGCAAGACAGCGGGCACCGAGTCATCTGGCAAGACAGCGGGCACCGAGTCATCTGGCACGACAGCGGGCTCCGGGTCAACTGACACGACAGCGGGCACCGAGTCAACTGGCAGGACAGCGGGCACCGAGTCAACTGGCCGGACAGAGGGCTCCGAGTCATCTGGCAAGACAGCGGGCACCGAGTCACCAGGCACGACAGCGGGCTCCGAGTCATCTGGCACGACAGCGGGCACCGAGTCAACTGGCATGACAGCGGGCACAGAGTCATCTGGCACGACAGCGGGTACCAAGTCATCTGGCACAACAGCGGGTACCGAGTCATCTGGCACGACAGCGGGTACCGAGTCATCTGGCATGACAGCGGGCACGAGTCACCAGGCACGACAGCGGGCTCCGAGTCAACTGGCATGACAGCGGGCACCGAGTCATCTGGCAAGACAGCGGGTACCGAGTCATCTGGCACGACAGCGGGTACCGAGTCATCTGGCAAGACAGCGGGCACCGAATCATCTAGCAGGACCGTGGGCACCGAGTCAACTGGCATGACAGCGGGCACCGAGTCAACTGGCATGACAGCGGGCACCGGGTCATCAGGCATCGGGTCATCTGGCTCGACAGTGGGCACCGGGTCATCAGGCATTGGATCGTCTGGCTCGACAGCGGGCACCGAGTCATCTGGCATAATAGGACCATCAGGCTGGGTAGACACATCAAGCTGGGTAGGGTACACTGGGTCATCGGGCATCAGGGTATCAGGCTGAACCACGGAAGGCGGGTTCTCAGACGGCAGGCTGACTGGTTTGGATACTGGCAGGATGGTATTGGTTGGAAAGAATTTTCGCTTTTTCTTGGTTTTAGTTACTGGAGCGCAGGAAGTATGCGCAGGTTTGTAAGTGGATAGAGCAGCGGTAGGCAGAGAAGAGCTGAGGGATGGAACAAAGGAGGGAGCAGTTGCTACAGAGGACTTCTTTACAGGGTTAAAGATAAGATAGGTGCAGCGAGTGGGAGCAGGGGACTGATATGTGGTAGTTAGCAGAGTATACTGGGCCGTCACTGGGGGTGCTGTCGGGGATGCAGGAAGAGTGCCTTGAGCAGAGGAATGACATTGCAAGCTGACTGAGGCTGGGTGCAAAAAGTCTGACTATGTCTGCAGTATGGGTTGAACAAAGCTCAGCTTACACAAAGCCCGTCTGGTCAAAGACTTCACTGCCTTTATACAATCTCTTAGCACCTGTTGTGAACATGCAGAATAACGCTCCAAGAAGTAATCCACATCATCCTCCAATAACCACACCAGGGACTCTACCAGGTCGGCACTAAATGGCGGCAAAAATTCATCCTTGCATTCGGGGGTACCAGATGAAGCCAACTCAGCACAAACCTGAATCAATAGTTGCACCTCAGAGAACTCTGTGCCCTGATCTACTAGGCAATGAGCGATCCTTGGTATACTCCTTCAGAGTCTGATAAGCATAATCTCTGTCATCAAAGACTAGCAGAGACAAATACACCACCTCATCAAGATGCATCCTTCCCAGCAACAATAAGCCAAGATCGCTTCCCCGTGCAGCCACTTCTGGTCAGGAATGGCCTTGGTGTTCTGTTAGGGATCCGGGTATCACCAGAAATGTTTGGACTGACACAGGGAAACACAGGCTCCATGTATAGTATAAACAATACAATTTATTAAAGACTAAACAATACATAAACGCAGTGCAAGACTAAACATAAACACAGTGCAACCAAACCTCCAACAGATAACAGTAAGAGCAATACTAAACGTAGTCGGGCATGCTGGGTCGGTAGCAAACGGGCAGGCAAGGTACAAGGAGCAGGCGGAAGCGTAGTCAGGAATAGCCGAGGTAAGGACAGGCAGAGTTCATGCAGAGTCAGGATTAAAGCAGGATCAGGCAGGAAGCAGACAGGATGCAGGTACAGGGGCTCATGGGAAACATACACCAAGGCCCTGATCACAGGCCTGGCCATTCCTTAAATACACCTGCTGTAATCAGCCTCAGGTGATGGCTCATTGCAGGAGTGAGCCTCTGGTTGCTGAGAGCACCCGCTGGCCAGCCCTGGTACTGCAGCCCACAAGGCAGGTGAGTCCCACCACCACTGGCAAGTCCATTCCCGACAGGCGGAGATGTTTAAAAATTTGGAATTATCAATAAAGCAAGAGATGGGGACAATTCGGGAAGAATTGGAGCAATTGCTAACCAGGGTGGAGGAAACGGAGGAAAAAGTTCAAGTTCATGCCCAAATTATCCCTAAATTGGAGAGATGGATAATAGATAATAGAAAAGAACAAAAAAGACTGCTTTTTATGATGGAAGAACAAGAAAATAGAGAAAGGAGAAATAATCTCAGAGTAAGAGGAGTCCCAGAATTGACCCAGGGGGAAGATTTAAAAGAGTTAATTGGCAAAATCCTGAACTCCATAGTGGATAAACCGGAGGTGGTGATGTTTAAACTAGATGGAGTGTATAGGATAGGGAAGTACCAACAAGAAAAAGGATCAGAAAAACCAAGAGATATAATAGTTAAATTCCATAATTATGGAGATAAAGAGGAGATATGGAAAAAGATTAAAGGAAGAACAAGTATAGTATATGGAGGGAAAAATATCCAAATTTTTGCGGATTTAACAGCAGAGACTCTGAGAAGAAAGAGAACATTGAAACCCTTATTAGAAGTGAAGAAAAAACATAACGTGAAATATAGATGGGGTCAAGCGGCAAGTTTGATCGGTTGGAGAGTTGGAATTTCTGCAACTTTAAGATTTCCGGAAGATATGGAAGATTTCTCTGATAAATTTGGACTGCAGAGACTAGAGATACCGGGTTGGGAAGTGCAGGAGGGAGACTCATATACTTTTGGGGAAGGAAAGTGGCAGCTGGTTAGAAGAGGAAATAGAGAGTTGTTAGATAAAGGGACACCGCGGAGGAGGGGGGAAGGGGAGCGGTCATGGGTGGAGCCAAACCCCCAAGGTAGGGATCAGAGGTGGACTATGATCCAAAGGCAAAGGAGGCCTTGGGGGGGGAGGTATGGGTCGGGGGGGCAGGGAGGGTAATACTCTGCAAAGGGAGGAGAGAGAGAGAGGAAGGGTGGAGGATGGAGAGAGCAAGAGGAGTGGGGTAACATGGAAGAAGTTCAGTACGTAACCTATAATGTAAAGGGGCTAAGTTGTCCTGGGAAGAGATTTAGATTATTTAAGGAGCTACAACACAGAACATCCTCTGTAGTTTTTTTGCAGGAAACACATTTAGAGATGAAATCGAAGGTTAGGCTGAGGACCAGATATTTCCCGACATGGTATTATGCGGACTCACCAATAAAAAGAGCAAAAGGGGTGGCTATAGGTTTTGCAAAAAAATATAAGGTTTGAGGTGGAGAAGAGAATACCAGACCCAGAGGGAAGGTTTTTGTTTCTGAGGGGTAAATTGCAGGAAATTGAGTGTACATTGGCTAGTATATATTGCCCAAATAAGAAACCGGAGATATTCCTGAGTGGAGTACTGAGGAGGCTGTTGGACTTCAAAAGGGGCCGCCTGATAGTAGCTGGGGACTTTAATATCTGCATGGACTTACGAATGGATACTACTTCTTGTGTGAGGAGGGAGGAAAGTAAGTCCTTGAGATTATTAAAGAAATCGTTGAATGAAAATCAATTGGTGGATGTATGGAGAATTAGGCATAGAAAGATAGAGATTATACTTTTTTTTCACAAGTTCATGAGACTTACTCTAGATTGGACTATATATTGGTAGATCACCAATTTTTAGAATCAGTGATAGAAGTAAAAATTGGAGGAACCTCCATTTCAGATCATGCTCCTGTTGCAATGAAGTCAAGATGGCGTAGAGAGGAAAGAGGAGGATTTGTTTGGCAGATGTATGAGGCACTTCTTCTGGATGAGGAGATCGATCGAAAAATTTAGACAGAAATTAAAAGATTTTTTGAAGAAAATGAGACAGAGGAAATATCGGTCGCAACAGTGTGGGAAGCCCATAAGGCTTACATTAGAGGACTATTCATTGCAATAGGGGCAAAAAAGAAAAGAGAAAGGAGGGAAAAGATTAATAGACTTTTAAATGATATATTCGATCTGGAACAGGCTCATAAAAGGAATACATCTAAAGAGATAATGCAGAGAATAATAAAGAAGAAAGAAGAATTAGAGAAGGTAATTGAGGAGGAAAAAAGAAGAGTTTTCAACAAAGTAATAAGTGAAAGGTGTAGATGGGGAGATAGGCCGGGAAAATACTTAATGAGGGCCTTGAGGAAAAAGAAAAATAGGAATTATATAGAAAAAATAAGAAACTCCAAGGGTGAAATTTCATAAAGAAAATAAAGATCCCTCTCAATGTGCAAGTTATAGACCAATTGCGCTGTTGAATGTAGATACCAAACTATATGCAAAGGTCCTGGCAAATAGACTTAAGGTCTTGATGCCAAAATGGATACACGGGGATCAGGTGGGTTTTGTCCCAGGAAGACAATGGATTGAGATCACTGTTGCTCATTCAGGAAGCGAGGAAATGGAAAACCCCAGTAATATTACTGTCAATAGACGCTGAGAAAGCATTTGATAGAGTGAGTTGGAGATTTATGACGGACACCCTGGAGGAGATAGGGTTGGGGGATAGAATGAGGAAATGGATTGGTAACTTATATAGAGGGCCTACTGCCACTATTATGGTTAATGGAGGAAGATCAGAGACTTTTAGGATGTCAAACGGAACAAGCAGGGATGCCCTCTATCTCCACTGCTGTATGTTTTATCATTGGAGCCACTATTGTCTATGATAAGAAAGAACATAAATATAAAAGGAATAAAGATAGGAGACAGAGAACAGAGAAGGTAGCGACCTATGCGGATGATTTGATGTTCTATGTTGGAAACCCTCGGTTATCACTCCCAAATTTATTGAAAATACTGAAGGAATATGGAGAATTATCAAACTTAAAAATTAACCCAACAAAAACTGAAATTTTAAATATAAATCTTAAAAATAGTGAAAAAGAAAAAATACAAGAAGAATTCCCTTTTGTTTGGAGAGAGAAAGAATTAAAGTACCTTGGGATAAAATTGTCTGCTTCAATTAAAAATATGTATAAAATTAATTATATTTGACTTTTAAATGAGATCAAGGATGAGTTGAAGAGGTTGGGGAGTGGAAATTCGTCTTGGATGGGTCATATAAATTCAACAAAAATGATAATTGTGCCCAAAGTTTTATATAAATTTCAAATGATCCCAATTAAACTTCCAGAGGTTTTCTTCAAAACACTTAGAAAAATGATGTTGAGATATATATGGAGGAATAAAAAAACAAGAATACATTATGAAATGTTGACTAGAACTAAAGAGAGAGGTGGTTTAGGACTCCCAGATTTTAAGAGATATTATAGAGCGGTGATAATTGCGAGAATCTATGACTGGACTCATAACCCAGGGAAAAGCTGGGTCAAAATTGAAAACACACTGAGTGGGGCAAATTTGAGTAGGATTATATGGTTACATGCACAATATAGAGGATTAGATGTAATACAAGTGTGTACACTTTTATTGTTTTAAAAGTTTGGGAAATGTTACACAGACAAAAGGGATGGGTTTTTAACTCACAGTTAATGCCACTAAGAAATACAGATTATTTTGCTCCTGGGAAGGAAGATATCACAGGGAAGTGGATCATAAAACAGGATGCGCAATTAAGAGATATAATGGTGGGTGAGGAAATAGGAACATATAGAGAGTTGGAGAAAAAAAAAGGGGAGGTTTTCAGTAGAATGGATGAGATTCGATATTATCAATTGTAACATTTCTTTGGGAGTCTCCCAAAACCTGTGAGAACTAGAAAGGAGTGGAATTTATTTGAAAGATTACTAGAAAC